CTGAATTAAATGTTAGTCTAGGACATCATTTTTTTTCGAACGTCCATCATTCAGAATGACCAATTTTCTTTCAAGAAACCTTGGTACAAAGAGAAAAATCCAGAGCGTCACCATTCCGTGCAGGAACTGCTGAATATTGAATGAAAAAAAAGGGTGCACAATCTGGGTTGATGTCAAAGGTCAAACGGGCCACGATGCAGTGAAATGTTTCTTTCACAGCACTGTGAGATTATGATGGAAGCTGCAAAATTGCCATGATCGGTATTTTGGACTGCAGTTTTCAGAAACGTACTTGAAAAAAATGTGATCAGTCCAGTTGTAAAAGGATGATGGTTTGGGGGTGCTTTTTGTACTCTTTTTTAAAGCTTGTGTTGTACATGTACACCAATTTCAATTTTACTCACAGTTTTTTGCAGTCGATTTTTTTTACACGAATGACAGAATCGAATAACGTTTACAACTGCTGACTTCAGAACCCGATTAATTGTGAGAGGTATTTTTTAATTTCATGATTATGGTTTTAATATGTGTAAATATTATCACCTTTCACCACATATAAATCTGTGTAAAATAACGATAGGGATTGCCACTCCTCGGTAAATTTTATTGGCTAGGATTTCAACAGGTTGTTCATGTCCGTCAAAAATGCTGACATTCAAGACTTTAATTGATTAACTCCAATTAGGTTGAAAGATGGACACGGTCATCATTGTTCCAGATATCAGCCATGACTTCCCTCATTACATCAGGTATTTGGAATTAATTCACTGCTGTTCACTTCAGGAAAAATGAACCCCCAAAGTTGAACAATATCTAATGGTCCATATTTTGGATTCATAAAAACGAACACATGAATTTAGCAGAGTGCTTGTTCACCTGGATTACAGTACCTGATTGTTATTAACATTTACAAAAGAAGTGACAGAGGTTTAAGTTGTTAATCGTTTACAGGTTCTCTGTGTTTTCAAAACGAAACCTGATTTATTAAGAAAGTACATACTATTTTCCAGGAAGTTAAATGCACAGCCTTCATGACATATTAATTTTTTTGTGTTCCATTATAAAAGAGAAACACCACAGTGCTGGGATACGAAGGAACATCAAGTTTAGCGTTCACATACTGTACTGCACTACCTCTGCCTCTTGGCAAAATACCGGTATTCTTTGCGATGCCAAAAAATCCCCAGTTTATGATTTTCAATGAAGGCAAACATTTTGGATTTTTGTTTTAATGGTGAGGTGATGATGGCCAGCCAGACTTTTGCCTTCAGATCAACAAGACTCCATGGTACGTCCCAGTGTTCTTTTACAAATTGAGTACCACATACAGTGTGAGTGGTGGTGAAAGGTGTGAGTACCGGCTGAGTACTTTTTTCAACTATACAAGTACTGAAAATTGAGTACTGAACAACAAGTACGAGAGCTCCAACACTGCCTTGACAGGCTTACTGTACTTATCCTGTCAACTAAACATTAAAACCTACATTCACATTTAAAGTTATTCAAATGCAATTTTACTTTTGATTAAACAAGAGGGAAAGGACTTGAAAACTTTACTTCTCATCACAACATAAAATGCAAATGCACTACACGTACATCAAGCTCACATCAGGGTTCTGGAAATTATCAATTACCCACCAATTTCCAATAAAACCTTATCCCACAGACTCATGCTGTTTCCTGTCATATGTTTGCCCTGGGAGAATGTTCTACTATGTACAGGTACATGTAAGCACCTGCTTGAGTCAATTCTTCATCTGCGTTAGTGGCCAAATTATTCCATCATATACTCGGTTATTCACACAGTTGCTATTGTGCACTTGCTGTGTAGGGGTGGTGTAGTCACCAACAATCTATTATACATGTACATGTACTGTAGCTGACAATAATGTCTACAAAAAGATATACACTGTTTCACTGAATCATTTAACCCTGTGCTGCAAAGGGCCTATAAGACAAAGGTAAAAGGCAGAGTTGTAAATGAATCAGTCACAAGTCATGGTTGAGTCATGAATAGTCAGTCAAAAGACTCCTCAGCAGAGGACACACGAGCAGTCAAGAGTTAATTAAGGTTACTGAATTCTGCTTAAGCTTTCAAGTTCTACATGTACATGTACATTTCCCAGGTTGAGTTGAAACTTGGGTTTTCAAACACCGGTATCAAACTTCCCCAGCAACCTTATTCAATAAAAATGAAAGAAAACTTTCATCATGCCTAAAAGGAAAATATTCTCTATGACAGATGCAATTTACTTTAAAAGAATAGTTTTTGTTCATTCCTTCCTCCGTGGATTTTGCCATCATAGAGGTAGGCAAATTTATTTGACCGCTGTTGACTGCATTTGTTAGGCGGATTGAAGAGTACCCTAATGCCTAGACTTCATATCAGGGCTTTGGAATTACCCAGAATACCAGCCAAAGGTCTTTGTTTGGCCTATCAATACTGTGCTTTTTGCATTATGGCAGGCTGGGGCACATCTGCATTCCCTCCATGGATAAATGGGGCCCACGCAGATCCAGGCCAGGCAGACAAAGGAATTTAAAGGTTACCCACATTTTTGTGTGGAGGTCAGAGATAAACTTCAGGAAACAACCCCCCATCATGTCATAATTTTTCAACTGTGGAATTTAACTCAAGGGAAAGAATCCAAATTAAAGGTTGGGTCACATGGGTTCCTATTCATAATGAGCCACTCAAAGGCTGTAGGCTATAAATGGGGGTTTACTATAAATCAATTATTGTTTATTTATAAGGATCAGAACATGGATGTTGCTTTGTTTGAGCTACTGAATGCTGCTTGTCAAAGCATGGGGTGCAGTGGTTTCTGTATAAACCTCTAGGCTATGAATGGAACCAAGAATGGTTTCATAAAAGCATGTGTAGTCAAGTTTGAGTCTTGGCCAATTAAGGTCCTTTCACATGGGCACCCAAAACTAGGCACCATCGATATTGTATTTTGGCTGATACCGATATATCATTTTTTTTAATATCGATATTATCGATATGTTGAATTTTATTCATTTTAATTTTCGATATTGTATTTTGGCCGATACCGATATATCGTTTTACCTGTGTTGTAACAGGCATTAATTGCTGGTAAACTGTTCTGAGGGTACACCTCAACACCGTAATAGTGAGATCCAATTCACTTTGGTGACATGTTCTAACGCCTGTATTGCGTACGTTGCCTACATGGGACGTGATACATGCTACCATGCATAGCAGTATCATCAGCACGTGGTGTTCGTCTACGTACGTTTGGTTAGCAAATAATTCTCTGTTTTGGAGGATAAATTTTGTTATATTTTCGGGGCACTGTGTACGCGAATTATTGAATGTGAGACTGAGATACCCGGTAGGTGACTAAATTTATTCTTCAAAAGTCGCCGTATAAGCTGCCTGAAGTAATAGCTACATGTACAGGGACATTTTTCACTCAGCGTGAGAACCAATGTAAGCTGTGGCTTATCGAAAATTATGGTAATGTGACGATGCACTTTCTTAGTTTTTAATAAATTTTGTTCCTCAGTAGCGATATTTTCGATATATATTTCAATATTAATGTTTTCACAGTTTGGGTATTTCTCTAAAATCCGATATTTTTGATATATTGGTATTGCCAAATAATTAACATCGGCGATATCGATATCAAACCCATATCGATAATATTGATATATATCAGTGATTACCGAAAACAAGGGTTCCTTGTGATGAAATTGCATCAATGTCAAGATCAACGTCAAGCAGTAGCGTGTGAAAATGTATCCCTGTCACCAAATCATAAGGGTTCCTGTGTGATCGTCACATGGCCTTCTCCAAAATTTCACAGGGGTGCAAACTCATTGTGATTATCACCGTGATTGGTTGTGTGAGTGTAAAGCATGCAATTTTTGCAAGGATGGTGGGTGTTGAAGTCCATTACACTCACACCACATTGCTTTTGCCGTCATTCAAAATGGCGCTTCACAAATATACTGCCTGTTAGTGATAGTCTTGAGGCCACCTGGTTCTATGCATGCATTATTACAGATTTTTATATTAGAGGAAGGAGAACTAGATCTATATGTATGAAGTTGGGGCTTAATCATCTGGAGCTACCGGTACCAATACCAAAACAAATGGAACTTTATTTCTTTCGGAAATAAATTCCTGTGGAGCCATGAAAAAAAAAAAAAAAGAGGAAAAACAGAATATTGTCTTCACAGCATTTCCGGGGATCGCAGATGATATCTTCTGTTAATAAATCAGACACCAATGCTATAAAGCGCAAGACTGGAGCTGGCAACAAGGCACCAGCACTGAAAATCATGCTGCTATTTGTTAGTCCACTGAACAAGAAATGCCCAGGATTGAAATCAAGATAGAGAATCTTGAAGACAGGAGGTTTACAGCTAGGGCACCCTCCAACAGGCATATCAGGTTTTGTCATCGCTGAATTCATACACAAATGTTCATGGAAACTTGCAAAAAAGCATTCGCGTATATGGCTGGAAAAGTGTTGGTACCCTACAATTCTACCATTCAAAGAACATCGCAGTACCAGTGATGCAAATATCAATGCTGCAAAACAAAGGACATTTGCTAATGTGCTTCATTGTACCACGTGAAAGCTCGCGATGAAATCACAGGCAACCTTTGCGAAAGACGCTTGGTGCCAAACATTGCAGATGTGTTTCCAGTGGCTCATGTGTAAGGACCTTTAGTGGAGTGTTGGTATGTTGATTGTTTCCAGGGCACTCTTAGAAAACTTTCAGCGTCCAAAAATGACCAAAGATTACCCCTACTAATAGAAAACATATTTTAAAAAAATGAATCAATAAAAAATACAGAATTATAGACTGACTGCAAACACAGTTTCAGACAGCTTTCACACATAAAACGATTGGATACAATCGAAGGAGATGTAGCAATAAGGCTCAACTTGAAAAATGATGGAAATATAAACAAAATACATGTACATTGTAAGCATGGAAAACTTTTTACTTTATTATTAACTAACCTTCTTCACTAATGCATAGGAAGCCATTAGCAGCCAGTATATGACCAGATTCACACTCACACTTCACCCGCTCCATGCCTGGAATATCTTTGCAGATCTGAGCACATGGATGGGACATTCCGCACTTGCCTGCAATCAAACAATGCAGTAAATAAACACATTAAACAGAAATGTTTTTATTCAAAATACATGTACTATAAGTCTGCAAATTGCAAACTATTTGTACAATCCACTTCAGATTCCTGGAACAAATTTAGTATTTCACCGGCAATAGCTGGAACATTTATCTTAACAAGATTGCTTATAACCAAACCATTTTCCCTTTCTAAATTACATGTACATGTATATACTGGTAAGTACCGTAATATGCATATAGGGTACTGGTGTTAATATTTTTATTTTGGTCAATTTCAATCAAAACTCATAAAATGTTTGATTTTGAAAAGTTTGTTTTCTGATGATGTATCGAGTGACTTTCTTTAGCTACATAAAAACAAGTAAGCCTTGCTCTTCTGAAATGCAGTGTACCATAGCACCTACAGCAACCAGCACCTCGGCCTACCGGGACATGTATTCCAACCAGCTTCCCATGTACATGTATGTTCATGTACAGAATACATGTACATGTATTTCCTTTTTAGCTTACATGTTCTTTAAAGACATATAGACGTGTAAAGCATGTACACGTATAGTGAAGATGAAATTAACACTTTAGAAATTAAAGAATAAAAGCTGACTTAGTTACGTCCATTCTCCTGAGTTGGTCTTAAATGTAATTTTAATATCAGCCAAGGACATAAATGTAAATTATTTTCTAAAAATATAAGTTGACTAAGTAACACGACATGCTTTCCTTTTCTGTCCAGATCTCTCAAGTATCATTATGAGCCAGACTTTCCAAGAAAGACATATCAATTTCACGGAAGAAGTTAAGATTGATGATTGCTTTGAATACAAATTTTTCATTTAATAACAACATCACAATTTACATGAGTAAGCCTACAAATTTTCAATTATTTTTGGATTAATGTTTCCATTGATAAAGGGTTCAACTGACTGAATGGTCCTGACCTTGCATTTTTCTTGCAGTTTTAACAATATGAGAAAAGCCAGTGGCTCATCTTGTGAAATTGCTTGAACCACTTTCTGCCGGATGCTTTCAAAAATGCAGTGCACACATAAAGGAGATGTTCAAGATTTTCAGTTCTCAAAATTCTTCAAAAATTCATTATTTTATTAAATGGATGTTTACACCCACATGAAAGACTGTTTGGCGGCTACTCTAAGCTGACAGGCAACCTTCATTGAATCCTGAGTATTTCAGCCAGGTCTGCCACCATGTAAAGAGAGTCCAGAATTGTGAGGTGTTGAGTAATTTCCTTTGTCTCCAGTGAATGAGAATGGCATCTTTTCAAACGCGGTTGGATTAGCATGCGGCGGTGCTGTGTCGCTCATCAATGAGGCCCTGGAGCACTTCCCAAACATTCTCCAGCCGTGGTGCTAATCCATGGACGCACTATGCCCAAAGCAGTGGTATACTGTTTAAAAACAGTGATGGATTACCTTTGAAAAATGCAAACCATAAAAGGATGGCAATTCCCAGCAGCAGATCTTTTGTTCCACAGACCAGCTCTTTTGTCCTACATGTATTTCGGGCACCCCGGCTCTGCGTATAAACCCATGGTGCTCGAAACGGGGTTCCCCAACAGCAAGTGATTACGAGTGTTGAGAATTCATGTAATCCACTTCATTCTGGTACATGCACATGCATGCGCCTTTCCACTGTAACCTTACGGCTACTTTGCATTTGTCCCTCTTTTTTGCTGGAGAATGTATAGGAATTTTGGTTTAAGAATGTTTAGTCCTCCTCTTCCAGCATTTGAAAACTTACTTAAAAAAGGGGGGTTTCAATTGATTGAAAAGGAAAATTGTGACTGATCAATTCAACGGTCAGTGAATTAACTGAATAATGCCTGCATCCCTAAAATCAATGAAAATTTGTTTTGATACAGAAAAGGTCTTTGAAAGCAAACATACTAACAGATCATGATGTCGTACCAAAGTAATTATATCCTCCCCATGACTTGGATAATGGCACACAACATATTTGAAGCAGCGTTGTCATTACACTCATCCCCAGCAGACCAGCAAATAGTCATGCCATTTCAACCCCATCACAAGCATGTACTTTTCATGATAAGAGCATCAAAATCTGTCACTCCAAAGTGGCTGGCTGATCTAATACAAAGTGTAAATGTTAAGGGGAAGATGAGTCAATATGTATGCAGTGCCAATCAAATCACACTTTTGGGGAGGTAGTCCTATCCATGTGTCAACTCTGACAGCAAGCCTTCATGCTATGCATATAGTGCCAATATGCAGGCTCATTGCTTGAAATGTCATGAGTGGTTCAGATGAGGATGGGTCCAGGGTAAAGTGCTTGATATTTAGAAATCCTTATTATGTGAGACATTAATTTGAAGGCCTATCATACATGTACATTGTACAACATTCATTTGTGGAAAAAATCCATGAACTTTTGCAAGTTTCAAGTTGGATGACTTGTGTGTTAACATGAACATTATTTATGTCCTTAAAAATGACTGTAATAACACTTCAAACAGGTAGAATGAAGTCTATCAAGTATTACCATAAAAGGTTGGTTTGGTCTGGGCACTGTAATGCATCAACTGGAAACTGTTCATCATCAATTTATCATTTCTGTTTAAAAATGAACAATTTTGGCATATACCTAGTAGTAATTTTACAAAGATTTGAAAACCAACTATTCAAAAATGTAATTCGTTTCAGTTAGAATTAATCTACATTTGCACTTAATCCTTTTTCTTTTTATAGGGATTTGATTGCTGGGATAGTTGAAGGCTTAATTCTGTTACCAGTCCAGGAAGCATTATAGAAAAAGATCTACTGGTGAGAATGTGATAGCAAGAAGCCATTCTACCATTCAATCAAGTAACAGTTCAAAAAACTTTGAAAGTATTCTAAGTGAACAACTGTCACAAAAAAGAATTCCCTGTAAAAGATTTACAACAGTTCTACTGAAAACTTACTGGACAACACAATGGTGCATACATGTTGTACTGGTACTGTACATGCACGCGTGGACATCACTGCCAGCACACAGATTAACTTTGTGTGTCTATTCATCAAAACCTGATTTAACAAACTCTGACATTTTTTTGTTGACACTGTCTACCAAATTCTGTAGGGCACACTGTACTGATAACCCACGATAAGAAAAGGTTGCATGAAGAACTACTGGGACAGTACTTGTGCATTTATTTTCTGTCAGACCACTGTTTTGAATCAACAGTGCAAGCCTTGCACTCCCCTTGGTTACCAGGCACCGTCAGTCAGGGTACCGCATGTGTACATAAAATACTGGTACAATACAATTAGTATTCTGTCAAATTCTATGACATCAGTACTTATGAGTAGAAGTTTTTTCTTTTAAACGGTGGGTGTAGATTCAGACTGCAGTAACATTGGTACACGTACAGTACAGCATAGTACATGTACACAAGTGCATGATTTTTAGGAGCGCAACCTAAGGGCTCTTTACAAATATAATAATAATTAATGATAGGACACAAACCAGTGGATAACATTACCAAAAAAAGGACAGTGTGTTACAATGTATATATATAATGTACGATTCCACATTTATTCTGCCAAGAATAAACTATACACATGGTGATTGCATAAATATGATGTGATAGAAGGCGGCCTGTGCCCAGACTGGCTAACCAGCCCCATGGTACATGTACAGCACATGTACTGTACGTGTACATCCCACACTTACATGTACATACAGTGCATGTCGCACACAGCAAGAACCAGTTTTGCTGTACTTGGCACTATCTGTTACATGCTTTATTGGTCGGCTTAAAAGTTTTGAATGACAAGAGAGAAAATCTGTATTACGAGGCGCTTAGGCAGAAAGCAATGTGCCATAAGCTTTTGATCATCATAAAAAACCTTGCTCTGTACCGGTACGAGTACATGTATATACATGTATAGCATGTGTGCCCACTGAATTTGCTCAGGAAATCCCTCAACAGGACAGACACTAATCACACATAAATACTGTCGTGTTTCCACGTGCATGTAGGTTTTACATTTTCCCAAACTTTCCATCTGTCATGACCATGTCGTCCAAACAAAGTGTTCAATATGGGATGTTTCACAGGTGGAAAAATTCTAGCCTTTTCAAAATGATGGCCACTGTTTTCAGTGAAAAAATGCTAAAAGCAGGATGGAAAAGGTTTACTTCCACTAATATCTAATTGTTTTCAAAATTGGGATGTGAAAAACTGGGTTGATTTGTAGGTCTAAACTTTGTTTGATAGTGTATTTTTTTATTTGCAAATATTATACAAATTCTGGTTCAATAAAAAAGAAACAAGTACAGAGAGGATTTAAGTGTCAAACCCATGTTTCTAACAGAACTAAATAAATCAATTTAAAAAAGCTCTAAGACCATTAGAAACCATCAGAAAAACTGGAAACAATGGACCCCTAGGGTATAACAATTGTCTGACTGCTTTTTGTACTTCTATTAATTGGTCTGTTTTAAGGAGAGTGATTTGCTCTCCTGGGAGATTTGGGGAGAGCCATTTACATGTACAGATCTCATGGATTTTCTTAAAACGAAGGACTGAATTGAACCCATCCACTTGCACTATTTGCCCATCAATTTAAGGACACTGAGTAATCAAAGGCATTACATGCATCTCCAATATCCTTACAAAATACCCTAGGCCTAGTGAGGCCTATGTGCACAGTCACTCTCCAAATCCTAACCTTTAGTACTGGTACTGTCCATTCACAGGTATTAATACATGTGGGAACCAATAGCCTGGATCCATTGCCAGACCCTTAGTGTTGGTAAACTTCTACTGTAAAAACACTGCATGCATGACACTTTAAAAAGTGATGGATGTTGTTGGACCCACCATGGTGGGGTGCAGATGAAATGCCTGTGAGGACTAAAACCAATACAGTGCAGGTGAGACTGTAGCAAGTCACATTTTGCAAGTCCATTTCAAGCCACAAGTCATTTGGTAACAGTCCCATTCAGGTCGCAAGTCATTTGGTCCAAACATAAG